AAGCTTATTGGATATCCTACAGAGTTCAAAGGAAAGAGAGATTCAGTTGTTGCAGGGAACCTAGTCTATGAAGAATCATCAATCCATCATCATGCTCCACAACTTACTCAAAAGGAGTTTCATCAAGCTGCAGCATCTGAGACAATGCCAATGCCAATGTTTACACCACAACAACATCAGAAACTTATTCAAATGTTGAATCAAACAACAGTTGGTGATACACATTGTGCAGCTAATATGGCAGGTAACTCTTACTTATCTAAGGATGCTTCAATACAGTGGGTTGTTGATACTGGTGCTACTCATCACATGATAAATGATGCTAAGCATTTACATTGTGAAAGAATGATAGAAAATGCAGGTAGTGTCAGTTGCCTACTGGAGAGTCTGCAAAGGTTTCTCATATTGGAAGTTGTCCTATAGAAAAAGGTGACATGCTTAAACAAGTGTTATGCATTCCAGACTTCAAATTCAATCTTATGTCTGTTTCAAAAGTGACAAAAGATTTGAATTGTTGTGTCACCTTCTTTCCTCATTACTGTGTTTTTCAGGACCTCTCATCTGGGAAGGTGAGGGTGACTGGTAAAGAAAAGGATGGATTATACATGGTAGATACACAAGTAGAAGATATGCCTCAGAGATGTTTAACAGCAATACAAGATGCTGAAGATAAGGCTACTGTTTGGCACCAAAGATTATGTTATGTGCCTATGAGTGTAATCAGGAAGATTCCCATTTTCAATAAGTTTGGTAGTAAATTTGCATTACATAATTGTGAAATTTGTCCACTTGCTAGACAAACTAGACTGCCTTTTCCTAACAGTACTAGTAGATCAACAAGTATTTTCCAGCTGGTTCACTTAGATGTTTGGGGACCTTATAGAGTTGAAACTTTTGATGGTATGAGATATTTTCTTACTGTTGTTGATGACTATTCTAGATGGACATGGATTTTTCTAATGAGATTGAAATCAGATGTTGTTAGTTTGTTAAAACATTTCTTTACAGAAGTTGAAACTCAGTTTGGAAAAAGGATTCAGAAGATAAGGTCAGACAATGGTTCTGAATTTTTCAACTACAATTGCAATGAGCTTTTCAAGTTATATGGTATTATCCATGAAAGTTCTTGTCCATATACACCTCAACAGAATGGTGTAGTGGAAAGAAAACATAGACACATTCTAGAGACAGCAAGAGCTATTAAGTTTCAAGCTGGTTTTCCAGATAGATTTTGGGGTTTGTGTGTTCAAGCTGCAGTATATGTGATCAACAGAGTACCTTCTACTAGTTTGAATGGTGTGTCATCTTTTGAGAAACTATACAATAAGCCTCCTTCAATTGATCACTTAAGAGTGATAGGTTGCTTATGTTTTGCTACTAATCTTACTAAACAAGACAAGTTTAGTCCTAGGGCTCTAAAGTCTGTCCTGATGGGGTATGAACCTACACAAAAGGGATACAAATTATACAATTTGGAGAGCAAAACATTCTTTGTTAATAGGGATGTAGTTTTTGTTGAATCAGTGTTTCCTTTCAAAGACAATACTACATCTTCATCTAATACTATATCCAGTGCAGACTTATTCAATTATGATGAATTGATCACTATAGTGCCACAATCCTCTATACCTCCTTCTTGTTCAGATAATGCTGCTCCACAAATGTCATCTTATCAGGATGATCCTCCACTAAGAAAATCAGCTAGAAGCATTAAACCTCCAATTTGGCATAAGGATTACATTACTACAAATGGGACCAACAAATGTCTGTATTCAATAGCTTCAGTGCTAGACTACTCTGGGTTGTCCAACAAATACCAAAGTTTTGTTTCAAAATTCTCAGTTGAGAATGAACCAGCTACCTATGCAGAGGCCATACAAGATGCTAGATGGGTGGATGCAATGCAGAGTGAAATAAAAGCTCTAGAGGATAACCAGACTTGGGAACTAGTAGACTTGCCAAAGAACAAGAAAGCCATTGGCTGTAGATGGGTGTATAAGGTGAAGTATAATTCAGATGGTGGTGTGGAAAGATTCAAGGCAAGATTGGTGGCTAAAGGCTATAATCAAAAGGAAGGATTTGATTACCAAGAGACATTCTCACCAGTAGTCAAAATGACTACTGTAAGGTCTGTTATTTCAATTGCAGCTGCTAAGCATTGGCACATTCATCAAATGGATGTGTACAATGCCTTTCTACAAGGAGATTTGTATGAAGAGGTATATATGACATTGCCTCAAGGTTTTAGTAGAAGGAACAACGACAGGACTGGAAACAATCAAGTATGTAGATTACTAAAGTCACTCTATGGCCTGAAACAAGCATCAAGACAGTGGAACATCAAGCTTACACACACCTTAATTGAATCTGGATTTCATCAAAGCACACGAGATTATTCTTTGTTCACGAAGAGGAAACAAGACAAGATAATGATAGTTCTTATATATGTAGATGATCTGTTATTGACAGGCAATGATTCAGTGATGATTCAACAAACTAAGGAGATGCTACAACAGTCTTTCAAGATCAAAGATTTGGGAGAGCTAAGATACTTTCTTGGGCTGGAATTTGCTAGGAGTGATGCTGGAATTCTGATACACCAGAGGAAGTATGCTTTAGAACTCATATCAGACATGGGGTTGGCAGGTGCCAAACCAGTCTCAACTCCAATGGAATTAAATCAAAAGCTTACTACAGTTGAGTTTGATGCTAACATCCCATCTACATGTCCAGATGAAACATTAAAAGATCCTACAGGCTATCAAAGGTTAATTGGGAGGCTGTTGTATCTCACAACTACTAGACCTGATATATCATTTGCTGTACAATGTTTGAGTCAGTTTATGCACTCTCCAAAGACTTCACATATGGAGGCTGCAATGAGATTAGTTAGATATGTGAAATCAGCACCAGGACTTGGTATTTTGATGGCATCAACAGGGGGGAGTGAATTAAAGGTGTTTTGTGATGCTGATTGGGGTGCATGCATTAATAGTAGAAGATCAATTACAGGATACTTGGTACAATATGGAGGTTCACCTATATCCTGGAAATCTAAGAAACAAGTGACAGTGTCTAGGAGTTCAGCAGAGGCAGAATATAGAGCAATGGCATCTACAGTTTCTGAGGTTGTTTGGATTGTTGGTTTATTTGATGAACTTGGCGTCAAGATTAACCTTCCTGTGTTATTGCATTCAGACAGCACTTCTGCAATTCAAATAGCAGCTAATCCAGTGTTCCATGAGAGAACAAAACACATAGATATAGACTGCCATTTCGTGAGAGAAAAGATACAAGAAGGATTGGTTGTCACAACATATTTGAAGTCATCTGAACAGCCTGCAGACATATTCACTAAGACCCTTGGACGAGATTCTCATACACATCTTGTATCCAAGCTAGGAATGAAGAACATCTTCATAGCTCCTAGCTTGAGGGAGGGTGTAAAAGAGTTAAATAATTGCATTAATGTACATTGAACATGTATTGAAACACATAGTAGATTATAGTGTAGATTACACACTAGATTATAATTAGGAAGAGTTAGTTACAAATTTGTTAGAAGTTAGTTACAAGTTTGTTAGTAAGTGGATTGTATATAACTCATGTAATGTGTGGCATTGTTGCTTAATGCAGTTCTTCTTTCTCTCCCAACTAAATTGCTTCTCTTCTACGTGTTCTTGAGCAGCTTCAGCTGAGATTTGGCCATGGATTCTTGTTAGAATCCACAGGCTTTACAATTTTAGGTATTATTTTATTTAAAAATAATCAATGACAAAAAGACAAAATTCTAATGGATTAAAACGTTACTGTCAAATACGTTTTATGGATTCGTTTTAAGGCTAAAACGCTACCGAGAATAACGACTCTTTAGATCCAATTTACTCCGTTAGTTATTGTCACCACACTCTTGTTAAATCTCTAGTATTCAGGAAGAACTTAATTCATTTTTCCAAGCGCCTCTTTCTTGTTAATTTTTGAATTTTTATCTATTTGAAATTGAGGATTCATCTTAAATAGTGAGGATGTCCATCTTGAAGTGGAACGAGAACGTTTGATTCTAAACCTGTTGTGAAAAGAAATTAGCTGGAATATTACTGAATGAATCTTCGACAAATTTCAATACTCATCACTATGTAATGAAAAAGCATAAAGAATTTGGTACTAGAAACAGTCATGTCTCAACACACAACACCCAAAAAGTTTCTACCTAATATCAATTTAAGCTTTAAGATTGAATTGATGTGGTGAACTCAACATGGTATATACATAAAAATATACTTTTATTTGATTGTATTTTAAGTATGGTTGAATAAAGGAGTGGGGAAATTCTTAGGGAAACGCAAGGTTGCCTTTTGAAGTCGTTGTCGGAATTGGAAAGAAGAAAAAATTGTCATTAGGGAAATCGAGAACAGCATCGTGTACACACTCAGTAATGTTTCTGCTTAAATATTCGTTACTGTCTTATTAGCCTTAAAATGTGATCGTAAGTAACGTATTAATAAAACATACTTTTAACGTTTTACTCTATCAGAATTTTGTATTCTTGTTATTGATTATTTTTTAATAAAATATTACTTAAAATGTTACAACCAAATAAGTTTATTCTAATTTTGTAAAAAAAATTTAAAAAACAAATTACTTTAGTGAATTAATTTAAATAGTGACTTATTTTGATAAAAAAATTCAAAAATAAAAAATTACAAATACAATATAATAAATTGCACCTTCAATATGTAGGGGTATTAACTTTCAGTTGCCTACATTTTTATCAGCATACATTTTAATATTTTCACCATGCAACTTCCCATACCTAAACTCATCAAATATTTCAAGCCCCATATTTATGTAAAGATCATATGCCTTCTTATTCCAAACTGCTACTATTTCCTCTACCGATACGAATCCATTGTTGGCAGCAATGGATGCAACTGTTCCAAACAACAATTTCCCCATTCCCAAGTTTCTATAACTTTCTCTTAAGTAAAGACTCTCCAAATATAACCCGGGCTTGTCATTGAAGCATGAATAATTCGCGTAAAAGAAAGCATATCCCGCGATGTAAGCATCACTCTTATCATCATATTTGGATCTGAATTCCTCAACTTCTCCTTCCACCACAGGGAATTTAAGGTCGAAAGTTGTAAGGACAGGTTTAAACCCTTCGTTTGTGGGTTCTTTAAAAGGGGTTTGAGAGACTTCAAGTAGAAGTACGGATGGCCCATAGAAAAGTGGAAGAGGATTTTCTTTAAAGAGCAAGTTGGCTAAGGAAGACTCAGAAGCTCTGTATAAATGAATATAGTTATGGTATTCATGAATTTGGTAAAATAATTTGTAAATATGGGACAGATTAGATTTCGTAGCAAGACGAACTCGTGTGTATATCTTTCCAGTGATGGTAACGTCCGATGATGCATCGCTGGTTATTGATTCAGATGGAATTGGTTGTTGAAGAGAAGGAGTCATGGTCGTGTGGTGAATTAGATGAAATATTAAGGCAAAGGATTAGGGTGACGGTTTTTTTGTAATGGGATACTATTGAGTGGAAAGATAATAGTAATGGTTATTTATAGTGGAGATTTCGTCCCCTTCGTAATTATTTATTTGGTTGCTGGAGATCAACTCAAATGTGCATGTTATATATCTTCTTTTTTTTTAAAAAAAAATATAATTTATGGTGTGCTTTAGATTGTTTTGCAACGAAAGATAGTAGGCAGCTTCACGAACAAGTCATAGTGGACTACATCAACATCTTTGCTTAAGTAAAGCTATTCATTCTTCAGTACAATTTTCACGTGGAAGAAGAAAATTGAGTTATAATTTCTTGAATTTTTAACCAAATTAAGTAATTATATAAAACAATTTACCAAAATAATACATTTTTCTAAAATTTTACAAAACTAGCATAAACGTATTTCACGGTAACGTTTTAGGGTATATTTAATTTTTAGAAAACTAACAGCATTAGGTTGATATACGTTACTGTAAGTAACGTTTTACTCCTAAAACGTTATTTTCAGTAACGTTTTACTCCTAAAACGTTACTGTGAGTAACATATATCAATCTGACGCCATCAACTTTTAAAAAATAAAATATATCCTAAAACATTACTGGGGAATACGTTTATACTAGTTTTGTAAAATTTTAGAAAAACATATTATTTTGGTGAATGGCTTTATATAATGGCTTAGTTTGGTTAAAACCTCTAATTTCTTTGTCTCCTGTGGGTAACTCATACTTAAGTGGCACATGACATGTCGATTAGTTTGACAAGTTTTTCTCCAAAGGATTTGACATGATGCGTAACTTTTTTACATTTTTAAAATGAGTTTAACTAATATATCTACAATTTGGTTATATCAGAGACGAACTCGTGTATGTATCTTTCCAGTGATGGTAACGTTGTTGTTTTCGATTGATGCATCGGTGATAATTATTTCAGATGAAGTAGGAAGTTGAAGAGCAGGAGCCATGGGATATTGTTTAGTTAAGTAGGAAAGGAATATTCAGGTTTATGATAAAAGAAATGTGGAAAAGTTTAGTAATGAGATATTGTGTGTAAATACTTCAAGATCATAATTATTTATAAGTGAAATTTTTTTACCCTTTTTAAAGTTTGGAATTTGCTCCGATTATAATTTATCTCCGTTCCATAAGTACACGTCTATGAAAAAGTCTTAATTATTCAAATTTTGAAAGGTTAAGATTATATTATACTATCACAATTATAATTAAGTCAACTAATTATAAGGGGGAAAAAATTACTTTCCAAATTTAGTAAAAACATAATGTTTCCTACAAATTTTAGTATCCATTAATTATCGAACTACCCAGGGAGAGTTTAATTTCATATATGTTTTAGCCTTTTAAGTGAGATTGATGTCGTGATGTATTTTGGATGATATTTTTGAGTATTTCATCAAAACTGGGCCACCAATTTTTATGTAGTTGATCGTAATTAACTGTTCTTGTTTTATGACATCTTATTATTTTTAGTTAGTCCAAAAAAACATCACATAGAACAACTTAATAATAATATTACCAATATTTCATTTATTTGGCAAAAAGTGTAACTTGTAAAGTCATCTCTTATTTCTTAAATTATATTCATTATTTAATTAAATTACATCACATAAATTAAGACGAAGAAAATATTCTTTAATAATAATTAAAACAAAATTGGACCAAAAAACCCCTATTTGTTAGTACTGCTGGAATTTAAAACTTTCGAATATGGAACTACAAAAATAACAATATAAACATACTGAAAATTTAATAAAATTTCAAATTTCAGTTACGATTCATAATATTCAACCTTCTATAGTCCATTTAATTTAAGTTATATAGAGAAGAAACAAATGGGTTCATAGGACCACACAAAATATCATAAACATGATACATAAACATTGTAGGAACAAACTGACAATTTCTTAACATAAAAATGTTGACTTTTCATCAACTTCTTATCGTACACACTACAAATGTTAACATCTACCAAGGAACCAATAATTCATCCAAAATAAAATGTTGACAATTTTAGCAATATGGTTAAAAAATTCTATGGATAACATAAATGTGACTTTGAGATTATAGTCAAATAATCAAGTCATTAACATTGAGGAACATGCTCTAAAGAAAAATAAACTTCTTTTTTTCCATGAAACATGTGTTTTCGTAAATGGAAATTAAGTCAATCACGCAAATAATCCATGTAACGTGTATTTCCGTTAATGGAAATTAAGTTCATCACGCATATTTGTTGAATAATGATATTACTTGTTGGGTTTTTTATAGTACCGTTCAATCTCAAAAGTTCTTATCATATTAAGTTTTTTATTATTTTATTTTGTATGATAAAAGCTAGACTTTGTGAAATCGCATCGATTTTTTTTAATTTCGTTCACTAATGATCGGTATAATTTTTTTATAAAAAAAGATTTTTAAAAAATAAAACGCTCTAGCTTTTTAACTATTTAACACGTGGCGAATTTTAAAAATAATAATAATAATGATGCACCACCGGAAAAATATTACTATATCAAAAATGATCATTAGCGATTCTTAATTACTGTAAAATATGTATTTTTAGTGGCAGTTAGTTCTCTTTGTATATATTTCTAAAGCCTTTTACGACATTGGTTCTACTAACACTAGACTAATGTCGATAAATACGTTAGCACTCTTTATTAATGTCAATATCTAATATCGCGAAATGATATTTTTATTGTGTAATATATATTCCTAATATCTTAGAACTTTCTATTTAAGATCGTTAATAACTTATAACTACTAAAGATGTGACGCAACATACAGTGATTTCATCCTTCTAATAAGTCCCAAAATGAAAACTTTAATATAATGCATTATTGGATATTATTCCTCCGGTCAATTTGTTTAGCACAAATCTGATTTGTCATGACAATAAACATTGGATACTAGATATAGTATAAAGTTTAATAGTAAGAATTATCCATAAAACACGTGTTTCTGTAAATGGAAATTAAGTTAATCACGTAAATTTGTTGAATATTTTAAAACAACGGTGATCCTAGTACAAGTGTCTACGATAGGATTCAATTAGTTAATTATTTTCTTACAATTTATATTGTATAAATTTATGATTATTTTTATTTTTTATTATAAAAAGAATTTTTTATTAAATCGTCACATCATATCCATTTTTTTTTTAATATTATGGGGTATTAATTTTTTAAAACATCACGTACCTACACAGAATGCGCTGTACTTACTTTTAGTAGTGGATTTTCACCCCGGCCCCACACTCCTAAAAGACTTGTCAAACTAAACAATATGCCACTTGCCACGTACAAAGTGATTAGGATGCAGGGGATTACCAAATCTAATGCATACTAAAATATATTTTTTAAATAATTTTTTTTTTAATTTTCAAAAAAATATATATTCTTAAACTTAAAACTCTTCGCTCTATGTTCGTTTGTTTTTTTTTTTTTTAATTTTAAAAAAACAAAGATAATTTTTAAGTTTTTATAAAACTGTTGAATTAAGGTGTTTTAGTTATTCTACGAAAAGAATTGTTTATAAATATTCTTTTATCAAATAAAACAATTGTTTATTAGTCGTTTTACCATTTCTATGCAAACATGTTTAGTTATAAGATCCACTTTATCACTTAAAAAATGATTTTTAACATTTTTTTATTTAAGAGATAATGCATGAGTATTCCTCAAACTATGTCTGAAATTTCAGAGATACATTTATATTATACTAAGGTCTTATTATCCCTGAACTTATTTTATTAATAATTTTTACTTCTTTTCGACCTACGTGGCACTATCTTGTGGGCCAAATAATGATTGACTTTTTTATTCAATCTAGTGTCACGTAGGTCGAAAAGGGGTAGAAAATTACTTATAAAATAAGTTAAGGGGTTAATAGGATTTTAGTATATTATAAGTGCGTCTCTGAAATTTCGAGCATAGATTGAAGGGTTACTCGCACATTTTTCCTTTATTTAATAATACAAGAGATCATCTTTGCCATTTTTGTTTTATAGAAAGATATAAATTTTTATGATAAAGTTTAAAAACATTGAATCCAGGGATTTAAAATAATATAAGATAAGTACCAATTTATTTATTTTTCAAATTACAAATACAATGAGCGTTCTGCTTTTACAATATTAAACATAGAAATTAATAAATTGCGCAATATAGTACACAAAAAACCATATTAGCTAACAGCTCCCTTTCGCCGTTTTTGTCCTAGTTATGAGCATACTTTTGAAGATTTTCACCATGCAACTTTCCATACCTAAATTCATCAAATATTTCAACTCCCATATTTACGTAAAAATCATATGACTTTTTGTTCCAAACTGCTACTATTCCCTCTACCGATACAAACCCATTGTTGGCAGCAATAGATGCAACTGTCCCAAACAACAAACTCCCCATTCCTAACTTTCTATAACTCTCTCTGAAGTAAAGACTCTCGAAATAAAATCCAGGCTTGTCATAAAAGCATGAATAATTCGCGTAAAAGAAAGCATATCCTGCGATGTAAACATCACTCTTATCATCATATTTGGATCGGAATTCCTCAACTTCTCCTTCTACGACTGGGAATTTAAGGTCAAACGTTGTAAGGACAGGCTTGAACCCTTCGTCTGTAGTATTTTTAGGTTCGTCAAAAGGGGTTGGAGAGACTTCAAGTAGAAGAACAGATGGCCCGTAGAAAAGTGGAAGAGGGTTTTCCTTAAAGAGCAAGTTGGCTAAGGAGGACTCAGTAGCTTTGTATAAATGAGTATAGTTATGGTATTCATGGATTTGGTAAAACAATCGGTATATATGAGAAAGATCAGATTTCGTAGCGAGACGAACTCGTGTGTATATCTTTCCAGTGATGGTAACGTCCGATGATGCATCGCTGGTTATTGCTTGTTCAAGAGCAGGAGCCATGGGATGTTGTTTGAGAGGAATGAGGTTTATAAGATAAAAGAAATATTGAAAGGTTTAGTAATGAGATATTGTGTTTGGGATAATAATAGTAGTTATTTATAGTGGAGAAAGAATTTGGTCCTTTTAAAGAAATATTTTATATTTGGTTAGTGAGGTTGGTGGAGTTGGTGCAAGAGATGTCATAGCTAGGTCCATGCAAAAAAGTCAAAAATGTAGGAACAAAGTGACAATTCTTAAACATAAAAAATGTTGACTTTGTACGAACAAAGACATTTACCTACTTCTCAGTTCTTATCATAAAAATGTTAACATCTATGAAGAACCGATGATCCTTCCAAAATCAAATTTGACAACTTCAGCAATAACAAGTATATGAGGTGTGAAAATAAAATGAAGTCTTCAACATTGTGTAGCTCTATAAGGCTTACCAAGATGCTTGAAAGCTCAGCAAGGATAATATATATTCACACTGAAAAGGAACATGTTTAGAGGAAAATTATTTTCATCTTAATTGATCTTTTTTATGAATTTTCTACGAAACTTGTCGAAGGAATAATACTTTAACAATTTTAGTAGGGATGTAATTATATATATAAAGTTCGATCAATTATTTTTAAAAATTTATTTTGTATAAAATATAAAAATATTTTTTTTGACACGCTACCAATACAATAAGAACCCCTCAATCGATAGGTTAAAGACAGAAATATAGTACAACGAAATCTCTAATCTATGAAAAATCGAGTCTCGTCATACCCATTTTACTTTTGTTACCGATGCAATTTAATTAATAAATTACACAAGATATTTAGTTAAGTTTATAAGTTAGTTAAATATTTATTAGACAAAATCAATCAAATGTCATAATTCGTCCACCACTCAATTTATAAGCATTTTGTGTTCAATCAAAGATTTTACTATCGTAGACATTGAAAATTGTCATAATACATAAATATGTCTTTTAACTTAATTTCATATTATAATTATGCCCTCAATTTTAGATGTGCACAAGTAGACACTTAAACTTGTATAAAGTTGAAGAAACAGACACACATGTCATTTATCGTCCTATATGTTGTCCTAAGTGTATTGTGCCATATAGGACTCCTGTGTTTATTTATTTAAAAATTGAATAGTTAAAGTTTCTGTTTGTGCATTATGAAAGTTGGAGGTCAAAGTTAAAATTTGAAGCCAAGTTTAGGGTCCAAAATATGTATTATGCCTTGAAATTTTACAAAACTTTACAAATTGTGTTCAACTTAAATTAGGATTCTTGAAGGATACTCAATCCTAAATTCTAGTTTATGCCTATATAAGAGCTACTAAATTATCTTAAAAGGCATCTCGAAATCAAAATCTTGAATAATTCGCAAATTAATGGATTATTTAGTCAAATCTAAATCATAAGCTACTGACGGCCCTTCAATCATGAATAAATATTAGGAGAATAGAATTAAGGGATTGATCAATAAAGTGATGTTTCTATTTTTTTATTGTGATCGCAATTTATTTTCTGTCACTTTAAAATTTATTGTAACATCAATCTTTAATAATTTTTATAGTTCTCAAAATACTTTTAAAAAAAATAAAATTCCTAAATGTCTTTCACTGGGTATTCACTATTCAATCTTTAATAGTTTTTATAGTTCTCAAAATACCTTTTTTAGAAAATAAAATTCCTAACTATCTTTCACTCGGTATTCACTATTCCTCCTTCCTTTAATAATTATACTTTTTAAGTTTATAATTATTGCAAAAATCAATGAATTGATTAAGGCATGTTAGTTAAAAAAAAATTTACATAATAGCCATTTTAGCAGTTCTATGGCCAAACATGTAATTGTTAGTTATAAAATTGATTTTCATCACACAAAAAATATGTGATTTTCAAGATACAAAGCTTCATTTTGATCCAAGATATTAATCCCTTCGTTTTGTATTGTTTGTCATAGTTTCTATTTTTAGAGTTAAACTATAAAAATTTTGACTAACATTTTAAGATGTATTTTATAATCATATTAATATGTAAAAAATTGTAATTTATAGTACTTTTCATATAGTTTTAATATCTAATTTTTTTTGTTTAATATATTGAATTAATGTAATTTAATTCATATTTGAAAATTAGTTAAATTAATTTTCGATAAATACAATATGACTATAATTTTAAACGAAGAGAGTAATTTGCTGCGAGAGGTCAGACTATTGCCACCTCTATGTACACTTTGACATTGACCTTCACCATTTTTCTTTATAGAAAGAATTATGATAGTTTTTTTTTAAAAAAGAAAGATCATATCATATAATGTCACGATCCAAAACGAGCCGCGAGTGGCACCCACACTTATCCTCCTATGTGAGCGAACCAACCAATCTAAACTCTAATGATAGTCGTTTTTGAGCAGTAGAGTTTATTCTGGTAATAACTGTCTGGGTCGACGGATCCCACGACGGACCGTCATGGGCACGAAGGACCGTCAAGGGGGTCTCGTTCCAAAACACTTAGATTCTGAAAAAATTGGGTACTGAGAACAACTCTCTGAACTTCGCGACGGAAGAGCAGGACGGACCGTCGTAGGCACGACGGACCGTCACAGACTCTATAATAAAATTGAGTCTCTAACTCTGTGACGACTCACAGGACGGACCATCGCAAGCACGACGGACCGTCACAGACTGCGTAACCCTGACTGAGTCGGATTTCGGTTAAAAGTTTTAAGGGGTGTTTTGGACTATTCCTGCTTATGATTATAAAGTTAGTGGTTTAATGTTAATAATTCAATTACTTGGGGGTTAAAAGAGATAACCTTAAAATAAATAGTGGGTTACTTTTATTATCTTTTATACTTAATTATATGGTAATTAGAGTAAAAGAAAAAGAGTTTGAATAAGGAAAAAGAAGAAAGAGACAGAAAGAGAGGGAGAACGATCGAGAGAAGAGAGAAACGAAGAGGAAAGCAAAGGTTTAAGGGGATAGCTTGCTTGATCGTGAATTCTTCGGTGGAGGTAGGTTATGGTTTTTGCTTTTCCATAGTAAACTCTTAATAGCGAATGATATGTATGGGGTAATAATGTAAAGTCTTCTATATGCTTAATTGTGTGCTTGCATGATGTGATTACATAATTGTGATAAAATAAGCATAATGAGACTGTTGAATCTTAAACCTTAAAAACCTCTTTGTTAATGATGATGCCTTGGTATAAAAGAAGGCTTGATGAGCTGAAAGAATGAGATTAGGGGATCGGGTGTCACGTTCTGACACCTGGATAGCAGAGGATCGAAGTGTCACGTTCCGACACCAGGATAGTAGAGGATCGGAGTGTCACGTTTCGACACCAGGATAGTAGAGAATCGGAGTGTCACGTTGCGACACCAGGATAGTAGAGGATCAGAGTATCACGTTTCGACACCAGGATAGTAGAGGATCGGAGTGTCACGTTCCGACACTAGGATAGTAGGGGATCGGAGTGTCACGTTCCGACACCAGGATAGTAAGATGAATGAATATTGAGGGGATCAGAGTGTCACGTTCCGATACCAGAATAGTAAAGAGAATGAATCTTGAATTATGCTAATATACTCAAGTTTGAAGAACCTAATTCCTAAATGAGTGTTGACACCCAATTTTGGCCTAATATTTTTAAAAATCCGTAATTTTGGGCCACAACGCTAAGCCCGTCATTTGAGCCGATTTTGAGTTTTTATTTAAGTTGGTAACTAGGTCAAAAGGGGGGGGGAATTTCAGAAAAAGAGGGGGAGTCGCAGCCTCTCTCCTCTCTTTCTCCTCCCAGCTGCTCCCAGCCGTACCCCTCTCCTCTTCCGTCAGCTCCTCTTTCTCCTTCTCCTCTCTTCACAGCCTCCACCTCCCCTCTCATCTCCCTCACAGCCGCCTACTCTCACGCCCTCCCCCTTTTTTCCTCTTTCCCGTCAGCCCCCTCCCCCTTTTTTCCTCTTTCCCGTCAGCCCCCTCCCCCTTTTTTCCTCTTTCCCGTCATCCCCCCTCCCTCTCCCGTCGCCCTCTTCCCTCTTCCTTTTCCTCTCTCCCGTCGTCCCCCTCCTCTTTTCCGCCTCCTCTTTTCTCCCCCTTCCCTCTTCCTTTTTCCCTCCGACCAGCCAGCGTGACAGCAGCCAGGTTCCACCGGAGAGCAGCAGGTGGTGAAGACCAGGTGGCGCCACCTCTCTTCTCTTCTCCTTGGCACTGGCGAAGGCAGCCAACGACGACAACAGTGCCTGGAGAGGCCACTAGTGAAGGCAAACCAAAGGCCAAAAATGGCGCCAAAAACAAAGTAACTTTAAAAAAATAATTCCTCATCTTCCTCATTACACTAAAAAAAATTGTAGAGTAATATTTAACCCTCATTTGTCTACATCATAATAGTAACAAGTTTTTTTTGTTTTGAAATCAAAGATGGTGAGTTTGAGGTTAAAATGAAGAGTTTCCTAAAAGAGTTTAGTCTTGTATCTCTTTTACTGTTTTGCCTTTTTGTTGGTCATTGACAAGGAAAGCCAGTGACTATCAAAGGGTTTTTTCTTTTTCCATTTTTAGGGGTGTATATAGTGACTATCAAAGGGTTTTTTCTTTTTCCATTTTTAGGGGTGTATGTAGAGGAGGAGGGTGCTATTAATGGCTTTATCCCTTTGGACAAGGCAACAATATCAACCCTAGAGGATGGAAAACTCAAAAATTGCTATACTATTTGTTCTACTGATGAAGCTAGTCTTCTTCCTCCACCTCCTTCAGCAGCTTTTGTAAGGAGTTTTGATGTTGCTACCAACTCCCAAAGAGTGGCTACTACACTGGGATACCCTTTTACATGGGCACAGTGGAAGGAACTGGAGAGGCAAGCTATGATTTACAAGTACATGGTTTCGGCTATGTCTGTTCTTTCTCTGGAGCTTCACATACTATATCGGCTACTGGATCAGTACAAGGCCAGCGATACACAACAAATATAAGGGATCTAGAGCCAGGAAGATGCAAAAGAACGGACGGCAAAAA